CTTGGTTGTCTGGTCCCTTGGTCTTCTGGTCCCTTGGTTCCCTGATCGCTTGGTCCTTTGCTCCCTTTGTCCTGGTCCCTTGGTCTCCTGGTCCGCGGTCCGAGCCCACGATCGTCTGAATTCGATCACTGGACGGGTGGAAGAAAGTAGGCCCGAAGGCCGGGCATGTCATTCGGAAGGGATTGGCTTCTCCCATCCAGTTTTCAGGGTCCTCTCCTTCGGGACATGAATGATTCGCAGATCCCTTTGGAAGACGACTTCCCGCTAGAAAACGGGATCGGTTCTACATTGTGCGGTTCGGGGCAAATTTTTTGAGCGGCACTTGGAGTGTCACTTTTCGACTTGCCAAGTAAGATTAGCCGGCCAGACCTTGGAATTCTGACCCAAATGTGGCCCAGGCGGAAAAGAAATAGATCTTCAAGCTTTCGGCAATGGCTCGTTCGTCAGATGTACCCTCCCCAAGGTCGTGATTGAAGGCAGGCCCCGGCCTTGCGTTCACGCCCCGTTTGCTGCTCCAGGCACACCATTGAGCAGCTGGGTGGCAAGGCACCGAGATGCTGATCTTGAGTCAGATCAACTCTTTCTGAAGTGAGTTTCCTGACTGGAACCATGCAGCCATGCACATTCATGTGCAATGTGTGCACACCTGAAATACTGGTGCCCAGTACTGGCTTCCACTCCTGTGTTCATGGTTCTCTCGGGCGTCAAGCATTCTCGGCCCACCAGCGCCACCTGCTTTCCGGGATAGGACACCGCTGGGGCGACTCTGACTGAGCCTACCATGGTCCTTGAGATGCCCCTGAACAGTGTGGTATCACTAGGGGTTCTTCACCTGTAGACCTAGGCCTTAGACCTTTATGATACACTGTTTGGGGTCTCTTGCCGGGATAATGTTTGGGTGTCCACTGGAGTCGGCATCCACAGCGACATCGCAGGCGAACCCTGGTGAGGGCGCTGGCCTTGGAATCTACGTGGAGAGTGTGCCTTGAATGGGAGATCGATGGGAAAATGGCAAGTTGAAGCTCCACGGAGGGAAAATGCGATGGAGGAGAAGGTGAATGAGATTTCGAGTGAGGTTCCAAATCTCATCTATGGCACGATCCCAAAGTTTGTTTATATTCACCCCCATCTCAAGGACATCTTCGGGTGCCATTTCTCACCTTTGAAACCACCAGCCTAGCTCTTGACTTGCCTGGCGCGTTGTTGGCTCGTGCTCTTCAGGTGAAGAACCTCTTGAACAACTCCATGGTTCAAGCGATCCGCTCCCAGTTTGCGGTGCGCTGGGTGTGGTGGGTGCGATGGTGCGACGATGCCGGGGCGGTTCTATGGCTCGATATCGACAATTCATTAACATTTTACATACCTCTTCGGTGATTCGAAACAGTGATTTTCATGTTGATTCATGTCGTACACTGTGATTGGAAAGCGCAAAAGGCCATCCTGGCTTATCGACCTCCTGGGAGGTTCGGGACGACCAGACCGGCCCTGGTCTCCCCATTGGGCGCACGGTCGCATGAGAGTAGTTGAAGGTTAGGGCCTAGGGTCTGTCCCATTACCTGTAACAGTCAGTAAACAATGATTACTATTTTGGGACGAGGCCTTTGCTAACAATCATCTACTAGCAGACTAGTCGTCCATAGGTTCAATACGAACCTGACTAAGATGAACAAACAAATCCACTGTTACAGGTATTGGGATAGACCCAAGTTATACTGAATCACTTGCAGCAGGATGCTGAGCACCGCTTGAATGTTTTGTCACCCCTCCCTCAACTCGTGTCCGATCTCTATCCTGAATACATGTATAGAGTAACCTTGGATCCTTGGACGTGGAGATCGCCACTGTGGCAGGCTGACAAGACCATACTGCAGAATGCCATTTCGGGTTCCTAGCAAGCACCCTGCGAGATCCGGGGGGCCGGGGCGTTCGTCCCGCTGCCATTGCTACTACTCAAGCAGTCGAGTAGTAGAAAAACCAAGAAAGGCAGTCCACTTCTTGGGCAGGCATGGATCACAGCCTTATTTTGGCAGGTGTAGAGGTTACTGGTGACTTCACTCACAAAGCAGGTCCCTTGATGGGCGAGCTCCTCGCAACGTGAATCATAGGGAACACATATTTGACATTATTTGACTAACATCGTCCCTCGTTGTAGCCAGACGCTGCCGAGCGAGAGCGAGAGAGAGAGAGAGAGAGAGAGACAGAGAGAGAGGTACTTAGAGTGCGAGGAACTCGGAAGCCCCCGGTATGTCAGTGCTGCGACGACCATCAACCCTACGGCCGCGCAGTCCCGGAGCGGTTTTGATACCGTATGTTGTATGGGTACCACCCAGCGCCCCAGGTCACGAAACAATGCACCATCACAAGATTGAACCATCATTGGGGCCTGATCAAGGATGCCTTTGTTGTAACATGCCCCAACGCATCCAACGCCTCCACAACACACAACAAATATTGTCACTCCTCCAACTCACATGGCCTTTCGTTGTATGCTGCCCGAGTCCCTGGACCATCCGACTCTCCCGTTTCCCTCGCCCGAGTCCCTTCGAGGCTTTGACCTGTGCAACAGCACCCTCTTTGGTGCCCTAGCCCATCCGAATGCCGTGCGTGACGGCGGCCATGGGGGCCTGTGCCTTGGCGGGAATGGATGGACATAGCCGGGGCCTGGGACTTCTGAAGGTTGGAAGACACAAACATGTTCAGCTCAAAGAGGTGCCATATACTATATAATTGTTTTTGCTTCGCCGTGCGGCCATGGGGGTCTTAAGGGTTTATAATCTATAAATGTTTATACCGCATTCTGCGGTCGGCAGATGAAGTGTTGATGAGACATATATATATATATATATTAGACTTCTCGAGTCATCTGGCTCATCAGACTTTGAACATCCAACAAGCTAATTGGAAAAGTCTCCTCCGCCATGTCCCGCGTTGCCAGCATCGTGAGTGGCGCTGCCTTGGTGCTCTTCGGCGCCGGCTGCTTCGTTGTGCCGAGCATGCCCCGGAGTGCGCCAGAGCAGGGTGTTCGAAGTGTGGCCACTGAGTCCACCAAGAGCTTCACTGCCACCGAGTCCAGCAGCTGGAGCCCTCTTGCCATTGGAGCAGCCTTCGGATTGCTGGCAGCGGTGGTGACTGCTCAGCCGGTCTTGGCAGCAGACTTGGAGAACGGCGAGGCAGTCTTCCAGGGCAACTGCACGGCCTGCCATGCAGGTGGCAACAACAGCATCGTGGCCGAGAAGAAGCTGAAGAAAGATGCCTTGGTGACCTATGGCAAGTACGATGTAGGTGCCATTATCAAGCAGGTGACCAATGGCAATGGCTCCATGCCTGCCTTCGGTGACAAGCTTGGCCCTGATGACATCGAAGATGTGGCCAACTACGTCTACAACAAGGCGGACAAGTGGTGAGTTAAGAGACCATGAGTTCTTCCGACACCATGAATCTTTTAAATGGATTCAGCCATTTGTAGTTTGTTTCGCTGAGGTGCCTGCAACGTTGCGTGGCCCCGAAGTGAGTCAACAGAGCGGAAAAACACCTCAGGGATCCTCAGGGTAGTTCACCATGTGAACGGGTGGGTTCAAGTTTGGCCCATCCCAAATTTGCGGCACTGCTTTGCCACATGCGAACCGAACCGGAGGCGGAGGCCGGTGGACCGAGGCGTTCGCTTTATGCCTCGCAACGGATCCAGGTGGGTCACGACGGTCATTTGCCCCATCTGCCCCATCTCCCAGTGGGAGCGCTTGGTCTCTCGGCCCAGCTCTTCCCCTTCCCAGCTGCGTCCTGAGGTACAAAGGCCTGGCCGCCCTCAAGGTGCGGCACAACGAGTGCCGAGGACGTCCCTTGGGCAAGCAGTGGGCCGTCCAGGGGACTGGTAGAATGGACTTCCGTTGAAAGGGGGTTGCACCGAGTGAGCTTGGTGGTCAAAATGCTCGGAGACGGAAGTTTGGTCGTCGACCTCGTTTGACAGACTTTTCCACACTCTTTCAATCCTTTGGTGGGGTCAATCCAGATTGAACTATATTGAACTTCTGAACAGTTTCATTGAGTGCCATTATTGTTTGATGTTTCGTTGTTTTTTACAGGCCAGTGTTCCACCTACTGGTGCAGATCACGCCGTGTCCGTTTGTCCACGGAATTCCGTAGCTGGGACAGCACCGGACTAGATGATACAAGATTGTTTGGTGTGTCGCACCACGACACGCACGTAGCATACACTAGGGTGTGTTCCATTACCAGTAGCAATCGTTGATAGATTATCACTATTTTGGAGATGTCAGCCTTTACTAAGCACCATCATCGACCGGGCCGTGGTCACGGGATACACCCTAGCGTGCACCATCTCCAAAACACGCACGCTTGGGTCTCTCGGATACGCCTGGCGCATGGGCCTCATGGTTCGCAAGATGGCAGAACCATACCAAGCCATGGGAGAAAACATGAAAAAACACCTGCGTCGCGGTCTCCCCCTGTGTTCTCCCGGCCCCGGTCTTTTGCTGTTTTTTGGTGTTTTCGGCTCTTTTTTTGAGGGGTGGCCCGGCACTCCTCAACTGGATGCATCTGGATGCTTTTGGTCCAACCATGGGGGCCAACCAAGTGGCCGACCTGGTCGGCCAAGCTAAAACCAAGGCCAAGAAGCGAAGAAGAAGGAGTATGACATGTGCATGGACTTGTGCCTTGGTGCTGAGTTTTTCCCGTTTTTTGTCCGGGCGATTTTGCCGTTTCTTCTTCTTTGGCCTAAAGAAAAGCGCTCGATGAGTCCATGATAATCTTGATTCTTGGCCACCAGGGTGGTAGAATACTGAAGCGCAGCTGTTGACCGGTGACACTCTGGCAAGCTGGCTGTTGCGACAGTTGTGACCGGCCCCGGTCAGACATGATGTCGTATATATAATATATATATATATTTATTTATATACTGTATCGCTTATCGCTTGCTGAACTGAGCATCCCATGTGGCTGGATATGGTGCTCCTCACATCCCATGGCGCTTTTCCACCGCCGATCGACAGTGTGGATTCATCCAAAACGCTTCGCCAGGAAAGTGAACCAAAAGGAGCTGATGAATGCCTCCTGTGATGGAAACTTCTCGAAGCTCCTTAGTTGTGAATGACAACGGGGGGGAGGTGTCAGGCAGGTAGGCTTCAACTGGAGGTACGACACGCCTCAAGCCAGCAAAACGCGATATGAATGCAGTTTTTCTGAGGCTCAGGTGGTGCAGGATGGGATGTCACAGAATGCAGTTTCGTTGCTCCGAACAGTGCCACGTGTCCGTCCTGCGGAGTGGTCCTGGTTCATTCATGGGAGTCATGGGAGTCTAGGAGGATTAACCTGCCCCAAAGTTTGGGAGAAATGGCTCAAATATGCTCAAATCCTATAGAGATGGCTCCCAAACTCATCTCTTTCTGGAAATGCCATGATGATTGCAGAGAGAGAGAGAGAGAGATGGTCCTTTGGGGGTCTTAAGAAGCCGGGACGGTAGGAACGTCCCGTTCCATCCCTCCTGCAGATGTAGCTTCCATCCGAAAGCGGCCTCCAAACCCGGCCGAAGCCAGCCGCCCAGTCGTGAGGTTCTACAACAAAGTCGTGGCTGATCAGCAAGGGCGGAAGACGTGGGGCGAAGGGGAAGGACGCCTACGTGGAAGACGTGCCTACTTACTTTGGCTGTACATCGAATCTACATGTACCTACCTAGGACCTACGGTAATAATAGACATACACGCAGATATATATATATATATATAGTTATATATATATAATTATATATATATACATATTTTTAAATACACAAGGCCGTTGCTGGCAGCAATTTGAGTATATAATTACTCGGTTGGCTTAGAGAGGAATTCGCGGTACTCGTATCTCGGTCGCGGTACTCGCGGTGCAAAAGTGAACGTCGGGCTGAGCGGTTGGTATCTCCTTGGTATCTATGGGGGCTGGTGTTGCACCCATAGATCCTTTTACTATCTTTTACTCTCGGGGGGGGTGATTTAATAGAGGGGATGCCGCGATGCCCCCCAAGCAAACAACCAATTCTGGTATATGGTACCAAACCGACCCCTCGATGATCCTTCCCCAAAGGACATCATTGGTTGCACCAGGGTCACCAGGGCAAGCACCGCAAGTCAGAAGCAGACATTAGGTTCATTTTCTCTGTACTCTACAAGTGACATCAAGTGACTGGAGTCGTGCAAAAGGAAACACTCGAGTTGCTTTGGGGGAGTGGGAAATCTTGGTTGGGGCTCAAAACGCTAACAGCTCTAGCTTGCCATGCAAAACGCCTGCAGGGTGGGCTGCAGGACGACCGTGAAAACATATCCATCGGGATAGCTGTGAGACAGCTGGACTGCAGAAATGTAGACAGAGAAAGAGAGAGAAAGAGGGAGCAAGCTCATCCATCATGCTTTCCATACCGTAGGGTGTCCTATTCTGCTCCATCAGTGGGGGCCTGGCCTCACGCGACCGCGCACGCGCGGCACGGAACGCGATGCTGAGGGATCTCAGACCACAGGGCAGTGGGAAGCAACGCCGCGTGGCAGCAGCCGTCCGGTAGGACCAATACACCTTGTTTGGCGCAAGCCGGTCCCAGGAGGATGAGGATGACTGTAGACGGTAGACTCTTGATTTATAACACCTCCCATTTGAATTGAACGGTTTGTTCATATGGGGGTTTATTCATCAAAAGTCTACATTATATAATTAATATATATATATACCTATAGAGGGCCGTATTGGATTCTTCCGGTGTGTTTTCTTGGTGGCACACCTTGACAAGACCCCCAACCAACCGGCCTACATATTGTTTTCAAGACCGATGTCTTTCTAGCCGGCCTTCTTACAAATTCCGTCTAATTGAACAACTGGGGCGTGGCTAGTTTTTGTGTGTTTTTTTTCATTGGGTATGTGTCATGTGCTGGTCGCTGCTTGTCCTTCATCCTTCATCAAGACTAGGCTTTGAAGTTGCCAGCTATCATTCCGTGGTGAGCTCCTTTCTCTGCTTCTTGTCATTTGCACGTCCCCAATGCTGGCTGGTGGTGGATGAGACATGGTCATCATTCACACTGGAACTTCACCCAAGCCCGTAAGTAAGCATCATTTCACCTCGTCATGCGCTGCGCTGTCGGATCGGCAGAGGCATTCCTGCGCAGCATTTCGCAGGGAAACCTCTCTCCACCACCCCACAAGCATACCAGGAGGACCCTGAAACTCCATGCACATCGACACGCAGCGTTACGTCACACTCGATTTCTGCCCAGCTCGTTCGTCACACTTCTTTTCATCAGACTTCACCGCGAAGAGAGGAGAATCTCACTGGTCACTGGGTAGGGGGTGATCCTGAATCCCCCTTTTCAACCGGGGGAATCTTCTTGATACCGGGGAAACCTTCGGCGTCCCGGACCAATCCAAGAGTTGGATGCCAGGGCCAGCCCTTCATTGAAACAACACCTGGGGCGGACGCCGCCCCACCCGGACCACCCGGATGCTGGTCCTCCGCGCCAGCGCGGCGGTGAGGTGCGACAGTAAGCAGGTGACCTACCGGCAGAGCCCACCCAGCGAGCTGCCCTTGGTCCATCAGCGGGGGAACCCATGAAGGCACTGAGCACTGTAGGAGGTGAAGGACTTCCTCTCGGAGGTGGACCCCATTCGTCAGATCCGACTTCAAGAGCTGAGCCAAAGAAAGCTGAGTGAAGTCAGTCCTGGCCTAGGCAAGAGCAAGTGAAGTTGGTAGTGCTCCTGTGATTTCGCCTTAAGTAGTTGTCTCAGATGAAGGCCACCTGAACAGTCACAATGCCAGTAAGATTCTACCCAGGCTCAACCTGTTCCAAAGCTCGGAGTGATTTTAGTGCATTTTCATGCATTTTCAGTACTGTGCAGCCCTGTAATGAACTGGCATGTGGCCCCCACCTCCAGTTCTTGATCACCTTTCAAACCCACCTTTCTTGCCGTCCAAAAATTCGATGGCAAGCCGAGAAACCATCAGAGGAAAACCTATCATCATCATCATCATCATCATCATCATCATCATCATCCACTGTTACAGGTGATAGGATAGACTCGACCCAAAGCATGGTATTATCATCATCATCGGGTCTTGGATCCTCTAACCCGGACAAACAGCTCAAGCCTTTGGCACCTGGGGCCGGTCCCAACTCCTGGCGCCTCCCAACTCCCAGTCCGGGCTTGGGCGACGTAGATGTTGAAGGCGCGGAACCGTGGTGACGGGCGTGGGGGCGTGGGACCCTACGGGTGGACGTGAAGACTCCTGCCCACTCAACGGCTGCCCACATGGAGTGTTCGTTTGGGCTTTCTGAGGCCTGAATTGATGCACAGACCAGTACCATCCTGTCTGGGTGGCACTACTTAGGGACCTCCATTGGACACCCAGGTCCACTTGGGAATTGAGCCAAGAGTCTTGAGGTAGCGGAGTGTAATTAGTTGAAGCGAAGATCGCATGGAGCACCCGCATCATATGGGAGAGACACCAAGCACAAGCTAGGCGAACAAGGCGAACTATGGAGCCCCGTGGTGGATCATGCCAGGCTGCTCCTGTCATTAATGCAACACATTTCCGAAAAAGAGTGCTGAGAAGTAGCCTCTATCATCTGTTGAGGGTGTTGAACCTCTGGGAACGCAAGAACACCCGGGTTCCGATGCCTTCACCACGCCTTCGCCACGCTTTCGCCCATGCCTTCAGCAGCTACCTGGCTCAGCGACGGAGCGAGGTAACGACCATTTGCTTGAGTTGGAGACGGCTGGAGCATTTGGTCATTGGATGTTCTTTGTCTACCAGTTGGCAAGGATGAGATTTTGGAAATGCATTTGCGCCAAATCTATGCAGCTTTTGCAAGTAGAATGGGGAGAGCATGCCAGTTCAATTTTTTCTACTTATGAAATGTGGACGCACATGGGCCGAATGGGCTGCTACTAGTTTCTAACAATTGGGATCCATTCGCAGCTGATTGACGCAGATTGAAAGGAATGACATCTTCTTTCCAATTTCGAGTTTATGGGCGTGGTTGAGCCCCCATAGAAGCTAGATGTGGCTTCGGTTCAGCCGCTGCATGATCTTGGAGCATCCCAAAGTTTACTTGGAGGCCAGCGGCCAAGCGACCGAGTCTGAGCGCGTTTTTTTCGACTGGATGTGGGGAAAATTACGCCACCGCCATGGCCAGTGATGCTTGGGGTGAGGATGTTTGCTTATTCCCTTGTCAGACCTTGAGCGCCGGTCACTCGGCACAGGGGACGGATGGGGACGGGCTGGGTCCAGACACTGGCATGCTCGGCCAACATATCCCACCCCGTCTCCAAAAGCTGCAGACCCAGTTCAATTTCTCTTACCGTACTGGATGTGAGTCTTGCCCAGATGTGTTGTTGGGAAGATGGGGTTTCCGCAGGTGAGAAGGTCTTCTGGACCATCTCCACACCCCATCTCCGGGGCCCCGTGAAGCGCTCAGGCCAAATCCAGTTGGATGGGGAGATGCTGCAGGGGCGCCAAATCCAGGTGGACGAACACGTCTTGGAGATCTACATGGCGAAGCGGTCAGCTGACGACTTGGATCCAGATGATGTGGGCCTGCGCTTATGGCCAGGAGGGCCGCCAGACTCTTTTGGGAAGCTTGTAGGGTCTGACCAACATATGCCTGAAAGCATCCCTAGGCCCCATCCCATGGTGTTTGGTGCTATTCGCTCTTATCCTTTGGAAACTTCTGTCAGGAACCCATGCCATGGCCTTCATTCTGTTGCACCTGGAGCGTTCGGGCTGCCTGAAGCACCGGACCCTGCTGGACATGGGCTGCGGCACCGGTTTTCTAGGGCTGCTGGCTGCCCGCGGCTTGGACGTGGAGGAGGCGGTGGCCGCAAGGTCGCGGTGGCGAGTTGTGGTTGTCATGGCCTCCAAGTGGTTCCCAAAGAGATAGAAATGGTTTCCAATTCTCTTTTTAGTGGGGATTTACTGTTCTATTTGTTCGGGGATCTGTATATAGCTAGCTCATGCTTCGGGACGGCTCGGGGTGAGCTTATTTTTTTGAATGAGCTCTGGGGCGTCAGCGACCACGAGAGTCGAAGCACTTGACTTGCTACTTGTAGATGCAACAATACCCCTAGATACCCCTAGACTTCCAAGACCATTTAACAAACATGGGTGGACCTGGTTTGTGTAGTAAAATCCTTAGTTGATTCGGGAAAGCCTATTAAATTAATGGTGGTGGGAAGCCTAGGGATACTGTATGCTCCCTAATGTAGACTCTTGATTAATACACCACCCCATTTGAATTGATAATCCTTTTCAAAGGGGGGGGGTTTTATTCAAGAGTCTACATGACGTGCGTTTCAGGCTCAAATGCCCAAATCTGAAGCTTTTGAAGTACTTTGCTCGGTATGACCCATGTTGTGAAGAAGCCGCACATAAAGACAAAGAAGAAAGAAGACAACAGAGGCAAGGAAGAGGAAGAAGAGGCAGCAGAAGATAGAGGACAACCTGTCAGTCCAATAGAACTGGAGACTCGACTCCCACATACAGAGATGCCAACATTAGATGATGCAGATATGGTTGAGGCAGATGACAGAACGGAAAAGCCACAAGAACAGAAACAACAGAAGCCACCACACCCACGACGAATCTGGAGCAAATCAACCACCACATCCACCAAGCACTTGTACGAAACAGCAAGAACACCACAGAAGATTTCGAAAGACACAATCGCAGAAGAAAGACAGCACCCCATCCACTCCAAAAGACAAGTAGAAGAAGAAATGAGAAGCATGCTGGAGAAGATGCAGGAACTGAACATCCAGATGAAGGCTGAAGCAGACCAAATTCGTAGCTCAGGCAGCGCAGCAACAGAACAAATTGTTGAGCAATACGAGGGACTACAAACACAAATCAGAAAGCTCACAGACATCAGCCAGCGACACGAAGATGAGATTGAAGATCTCAGATGCATATCAGATTACACCCATGAACTGGTCCTTGACAGAGAAAACAGAGAGAGCGCCACAAAAATGATCGTCAAGGCTTGGCCCAGAGAAGCAAGCTACTACGATAGAAGCAGGATTACATATTGGCTGGTGGAAAAAGCGGGCGTGCAGAATGTGAAACAAGAGCATGGCTACTACACACAAAGTCGCAAATTTCAACTCTCACCCGTCTCCATCCTGACCTTTGCTGACCAAGATGACCGACAACGTTTCGAAAGGTTCGCTTACACAAGCTTCTCTGGAAAGTTCCCATTGTACTATTGGAATGAGAAAGGCGACTACGTGCAGCACCACAAAGGAGGACGACACCGGTTGATCATCACCAACTACATCAGCAAAACCGATCTCACTCTCAACCTCACGCTGACCACACTATTGCACATCCTTACAACCCATGACGCTTCACCATACAAAGGCCAAGACACACTGTCACATCGACCAACAGACAAGCAAATTTACAACTTCAGAGCAAAGCAAGTGGTGGCAAAGACAACCTATGACAGAGATCAAGGGATCGCAGCTATTGTGCTGGAAAAAGGGCTCATGGACATCGTGAAGGAGAAGTGGCATGAAGGATGGAAGGAAGCTCACAAAGACCACCCTCGTTTTTCCAACTACATTCGATATCCATATGCCATTTCATTCGCAGAAGCACGTCTGGAAGACGAACGGCAGGAGATACGAAGCTCAGAGTGACAAAGACAGAGACATCAACAGAGGCAACAGACGAGACATCAGCAGAGGCAACAACTTTGGCAACAACATTGGCGGAAAAAACGTTGGCAACAATCCTTCCAACAGGAAGCAAATCATGGCAAAAAACAGGGACAAACCGAGCAAACATGGAACACCACAACATACCACACCAAGCCTTCCAGATGGCGCCCCGGGACACCGCCCATTTATGGGCTGACTGAACGACCCCACAGACATCCACATCAAGACTCTCCAGCAACTTTTTTCTATTACCGACGGGCTAAAGTTAGGATTAACCAGAAAAGGCGGGAACGCAGAAGACAGTGGAGATTCTTCAAACGCACATGTCTGTGGGCGAGAGCCACTAAGACAGCCAAGGAACGGTTACAGAAAAGTAGTCTTGCTAAGAGGAAATGTTTGAAACAACACACAGCTTCAAACAATCATTAAACCATGTACGACATTGGTTCAAATCCACGATCAAGAAAAGGAAACAAGAATTTCGATATAAATGCGCCGCTATCAAGTTCCAAGAAACCAGTTTAAATCAGAGCAACAAACTACAAAAAAATGAGGCGAAACAATGGAAGCTAAAACACGGAAGTCGCTTGAAAGTTGCCACTTTGAATGTAAGAGGATGCAATCACCTTACCAAACGGGAAGTAATTGATGATATTATGAAGAAGCACTCATACGATATACTACTTCTAACAGAGACCAACGTTAATACCTCCAGCTGGGAAAAATGGGACAGCTCAACTTGTTTCTTTAGTAGTAATATTGACCCCCAAATAAGAGAACGAGAAATGAAAAAAAGGGACGAAAACATAAACCCTGGAAGGGCGAGAGCAAACTACAGAACATCGGAGGACTTTGAAAATGCCGGAGTAGGAATAGTGATTAATTCATCACTCCTTCCAAGTCTGCGAGATATTAGACAAATTAACGGCCGGATAATAACAGCCACGTTTGAAGCACAGGGCTCACCTCTTTCCTTTATTTGTGCATATGCACCTCACAGCGGACACACTATTGAACAGAAAGAGGAATTCTACGACCAACTATCCACAGAAGTGTCGCGAATAAAAGGGCGCTTCTTGATTGGAGGAGACTTCAACGCCCGTATTCATTACGTTAGAGACAACGATATCGATGTATGTGGACCACATATCATAAGCAGAGGAATGGAATATCTAGATAACATGAATGAACATACAAAAGAAAATAGGGCACTTTTCCTTGGGTTTTGCAAATCACACCGCCTTCAAGTTGCAAACAGCTTGTTTTCGAAACCGCCTGAAAAGTTAGTCACTTACAAGGAAAAAGTCCATATGGATGAAAACAAAGAATACAATGGCCCCCCATATGACGCAATAAAATATGCACAGATCGATTACTGGCTCTGTGGGCAGATCGAGCAAAGAGCAATATCAGATATCCAAAGTAGATTAGATGTTCGTTTTGATTCAGACCATTTTGTGTTGGAATGCAAGCTCAATATTTCTTTCCCTACATTTAAAAAGGATAATGCGCCACGTACGTCGCGATATGCGAAACCTGACTCAGACAGATGGATTTTCTACAATAATAACATTCGGTCTTTGCTAGAGGGGAAAAGATGCGACTTGGATTCACTCACAGAGGCCATGAAAAACGCGGCCGCAAGCTCACTAAGGATAGAACCTCCGAATAAAACGAAAAAAGTTATCCAAAAATTGAAGAGAGAAACGAAAAGGCCCGAAACGGAACCGCAGCAAAGGAAATAACGAACCTCAACAGGGAAATTGCCCGAATGGCCCGGAGGGACAGGCAAGACCATTTGATAGAACAATTCAATGAGAACCCCCAAGATCCCAATAAGAAAGGTTTATGGAGAGCGGTTAAGGGATTAAAAAAGAACTTCATACCCAATTATGTGAAAATGAAGAACATGGATGGTCAGCATGTCCCTTTGGCCCAACGCGCTGAGACTATAGCGAACTATCTAGAACAAAAACACTGGAGCAACCAAGCTGAAAACGAAATCAACCACAGCAAACTTGTAGATAGCAACGATGCAGGAGTAGAGAGTTTCACAATACAAGAGCTCTGTGCAGCCATCAAGGCGGCAAAGCCCAATAAACAACCTGGCCCTGATGGTCTAACTATGGAACTGATCAAGTGGCTGGACAATGCCAACCGGCGGGTTCTTTTATCTGTTATCAACAGCTGGTGGAATACAAAAACTGCGCCGTCGGCATTGTTCATGGCCCGTGTTGTCCCTATCTTCAAGAAAGGGGATACAGATATTGCTTCCAATTACAGACCAATCTCCTTACTCAACAGTTTCTATAAAATATACATGGTGATGATCAGGACCAGAATGCAGGCAGCCACAGAGCATCTACTGTCTAAAACCCAGTACGGCTTCAGGCCCAGCAAGTCTACTTCACATGCCATCTATATTCTCAGACGAATTCAAGATTATTCCGAAATTAAGGGGGCGAAGCTGAGCATTGCCTTCCTAGATTGGGAAAAAGCATTCGATAAAATTCAACATGACAAGCTTCTTGTTGCCCTTGGCCGACTGGGTTTCAATTCGCAGTATACAGAAGTCATCGCAGACTGTTATGCAAAGCCTCAGTTTTATGTCAAGGACGAATTCGGTTGTTCCGATTTTAAAGTTCAATCCTCTGGGATCCGACAAGGTTGCCCACTGTCACCTTTCCTATTTGTATTAGTCATGACCTGCATCGACATTGACATTCAACAAAGTATTTCCGCTTATGTGACAAATAATCGAATCCCAGGGGTTAATTTTGACATGATCTATTATGCAGATGACACTGTACTTTTCTCACGGAACAACCGAGCATTAAACGAATTGCTGAAGTTGACAGAGAAAATCTCCAGTGGATACGGACTTGGTCTCAATAAAAACAAATGTGTTGCTATCACTATGAACAACGACGGTTGTATTCATTTTCATGACGGGACCCCTTTGAACAAAGAATTTGAGGCCATGTATCTTGGAAATGAGATAAACAGGACAGTAAAAAAAACATGAAATCCTCAATAACATGTCAGAGGTCAGAAGGACCTGGTTCAAGCTCAGCGCCTATTGGAAAGCTTCTGGAGCCAGCAAAAAGTGGAAGCTAATCATTTTTGATGCCATAATCCGGAGTAAGCTTTTATATGGGTTGGAAACTATACATTTAACCCAGGCGCTAAGCAAATCACTAGATGCTTTCCAATTAAGAAACTTGAGAAAGATTCTCAAAAGACCGCCTACTTTCATAGATCGGTCATGTACGAATCAAAAGATTCTTGAGGAAGCAACTGCCATTGCCTTCCCAACTCGGGGCGATAACAGACAAATTATACGTTTCAGTGATTACCATATGAACAGAAGATGTAATTTACTTGGGCATATAATTAGAAGCAGTAATGATGACCCCATGAGACAAGTATCATTCGTTGATAGCACTGCATCCAGAGTTGATTACGGCACCAAGCGAGTTGGGAAACCGAGGCAAAACTGGCTGCATATCACAAAGAAATTTGCATACGAAAACGTTTTGAGACATCATAATTTCGATGAAAACACCGATGATGCGAGAATATATGCAGCCGCATTGAACAGAGATTTTTAATTACCGTTCTTTGGCTGTGCCAACGCCTTGCAATAAGCCCGTCCGGACCAGGTCGGCGCGAGGTATGGCTGGAAAAAAACATGACGTGCGTTTACATATACTTTTTGTGGCGAACTTGGTGGCTTTCTTTGGTCAACAGTATGTATTTATATAGATCATACATAAGGCAGTCAGAGCCAAGACGGGGCCACTCTTTGGAGGGTATGTCAGTATGTCAGGGTATGTCAGGTATGTATGAAGATATTATAATGCAGACTCGGTCAATAACAGTTCCAATGTGAAGAGGTGTTACAGTCCAGTGCATTCCGACGCTCCGGACCCCAGGTGCTGGAGCCAAGGTCGTTCTGTCGGACCGTCCGGGGCGAAGCTTGGAGCTCGCGCGCCTCAACGGCAGTGCGGCGGGCGCGGGTGAGGCGTCGAGTGGATTTGGAGCATTTGTCTTGGGGGGACAGAAGGTGTAACAGTGTAACATGGGCCCCCAAAGAAGGGTTCCTCTATGTTCCTCTAGTCCTCAGAGACCTTGGGAATTCTCAGAGCTGTTCAAGTGCAAGCAGGTCATTCTTTGGAGATAGGATGATGCTTGGCTTGGTGTTGCGTCCATGGCCAGCATGCTGCTGCTTGTCCAGGCATCTACCTGTTTTTTGAACTAACAAAGCCTAATCAGAGCCTTCTTGGGCTTTTCTCAGCCACTTCAGAGACTACATAGGTCTGCATGTGCCGTGCACAGGTGGAGGTGAAGGCATTGGCTTGGGGTTCAGACTTGGTGGATGAAACGGAAGGCGGGGGGAGAGCTTCACGTCACCCGTCGTCACGTCCTTTCTCCGACCCAAAACCTTCGCTATCTACTAATGGAATCGTCCTGCATGTGACAATTAACATCAGCAGCCAAAGGGGTCACCAATCAACCACCTTACCATACCCCTCCACAGAAGCGCTGGGCCAAAACCCTGAGTCAGGCGCGGTCTATGATGTCGTGCTTTTGTCGGAGGTGAACTGGGCTTGTAGAGCGTGTGTGTTTTCCTTTTCTCCTGGCTGATGCATGCTGATGCATGGTCCGCATGGTTGCTTGATCCCCTACTGGCATCCACTGTCATGTGAAAAACACCTAGCCTTTTCTCTTCTTCCTGCACGGGTGGCGGTCGGCCCGACTGTCAATGCTACAGAAATAGGGAGAGATGATAAAGATTCCTTTATTTTTCTTGGAGATCAATTTGTCTTGATGATGCAGTGTAATCCCTCATGTGTTGACTCTTAAGTTGTTTGTTTTAGTGGGTTTGTATCTTTTCGTGCCATCCGAGAATTGGAAGGTGCTTTACGTGGCACAGCCCTCTTGTGTTCCTTGGAGTCTGGATGATGCCGACCTGTTAGCACTGGCAGAGATGACCAAAGCGAAGTTGAGTGCAGAGGGCCACTTGTCTCAGCGGAAGGGAAGGCCACCAGCAGAGCTCTATTGGTTTCTGGTGGGTTCTGATCAGATCCTTTGTGAAAGTTTGCCCCTACGGCACGCATGTTTCATGTTCCCTAGGGCTCCTGTCCCATATCCTTAGAAGGTGGTTAGACCCCCCAAACCATCCCAGACCCACCCCAAGCACCTTCTCAGGAGGTGGTTGGAGCCCTAGGGATTTTCCCAGAAGGACATCGCATGTTTGTTTCGTGAACCTGTGTGCCCTACAAGTCGCGTGGCGAAAGCTGGTCCCCAAGCAGCCCCCCACCAGCATAGACAAAAAACACGATGAACTCGGATAGGCTGAACCACTTCAGAGAGCACCCCGGGCCTCTATCTCCTTGCTTTTTCAATGTCTGACTCCATGACTACAGCCAGTGACTATATAGCCATGTGTCGACTCTCCGTCGCATCTCCGTCGTCTACCTTTCTCCTCCACCTCCACACGCCTCAGGTCATGTCTGGGTCACCTACGGCAACCGCGAGAACGGCGGAGCCCAGTTCGCCGCGGCCGCCGCCGCTGCGGGCCTCGCGGTGGAAGAGCGGCGCCTGGAGGAGTTCGTGCCGGCGGAGCTCTTGCAGAGCCGAGCGGCCAGCGCTTTGCGACGGGTGAAGGTGTTTCACCTCCAACACGCCGGCGTGGCAGTGGAAGATGGCACACGACTCAGGGAGGAAAAAGAAAGGACCGGGCGAAGGTGGGGAGATGTGACATCGGTGTCCAAACCGATCCGACGAATCAATCGTCCTTGCCGCTCCTGGCGGTCCTTGCCCACATCGCCACATTGACAGACCGGAGCCGTCGAGAAGAGGTAACAACCTCATCGACGCGACCTCCTACCTCGGTCAGGCTACCTCATCGAGCAGTTCGACTATTTCAGCACGTTGGTGTGCCTCCCTTAGGGATTAGGGTCGACTGGTTGAAGTGGCGATGAATCCGTGGTCTCTGTGGTGGATCCGTCGTCCACGAACCAAGAACGGCGGAATCCGTCAGATGCCGCTGCCAAGGGGCTCCGGGTTGAGCCCAGGTTCAAATGGCGGAACGAGGTTTGGAACAGCGAACCGCAGATTCCATCCTTATGGATCCAACTTGACTTGGATCATCTTGATCCAACCCACAACTGAAATCTGATGTCATTTCTTTATCCAACCCCCCAAAAGCACAAGCTCAAGTCTAGATATACGATTATATACGTCTTCTTAAAACTTGCTGGAAGCCGAACTCCAACAACCTCCACCTTAAAATCCGATGAACTCTGCCTTAGCATTTCGTTTATTTTAACGTCTTTTCTTTTTTCTGCAGGAGACTTCGCTGGTTGCTGTAACGGAAACAGTACGGAACAAGCGAGTTAGTTTGTCTGTTTTCTTGTCAGCAGTTGCAACTTTGATTCGTCTTGTGTGGACCAGCTCGTTCCAAACAGTGCCCGGATGAACTCCGACGAACTAACCTGGAAAGGATTTGAGCAAGCTAGCAGTTGTTGAAGCGGGATGCCGAAGTATTTGCAAGCTGACCTGAACCTGAAGCCAAGAAAGGTGTGAGTGGCTGGCATTTGGGTGTGTCACTAGGAGTGACTGCTTGCCCTAACTTACCTGAACAAGCATACCCCCTACGAACCTGTAGAGCGCCATTCTGTTCAATTCAATTCTTGTCTATGCCGCTATGCCTTTTAAACTTTAGGACGGAGTGCATGCTATTTGCAGTAGTTAGTGAAAGTCAGTGAGGGCCTCATCAAAGATATATGTATATATTATATTTAAGATGGAGTATGAAGTGGAGAAACAGTCCTTTGTTGCATGGAACCTGGAACGGGTACAAATCCGATCAAGCTCAACGCAGCTGTGAACCGACCAGTTCTTCTTTGCAGATCCGTTATTTCATTCCGCTTCCGCAACAGGACCGACGCGTTTTTGTTTCCAAATCAGCATGAAACAACGGTTTCTTCCCGGGGGCGGAATGACCTGGTGCTTGAATCCACTCTGTGCGGGTCCACGCTGCAGGTCTGGTCGCCTGCGTCTTCAGCCTCCACCGCCTCGTTTCGTCTCCTTCCGTCTCGTTTCCACCTTTCTCGTCACGCGACGGGACGTCTAAGGGCGGACTACGAGTACGCCGAGAGGCTGTGCTTCAACCGCACCAGGCGACGGAACCGGGTGCTGGTCAGTCAGGAGAGGGCGGGCAGGGTGGACACTGGGCCAGTAGATTCTTTGAGAAGTCGGGGATCTTTATGGCAAGAATGGTACCTGAGGATATGATATCCTGAAGACATGAAGATAAGTGCCTACTTGCAGATCGCAGCAGCTTAGTTAGTTGCTATATGTTCTTTATTGTCCGGACTTGGCCCAATTTGTATACTGAAACAACGCTACGGAACCGGAATCCGTTCTCACAAGGCTTGAAGTACAGCCGTTGGATAGTCCTTGGGTCCTTCGCTCGCACGGTTTCGGCCGGTGGTCCGAAGACCAGCCATAGGGAGATGCCCAGGTCACCCGACTCCGATTGAGACTGAAGAGTGGTTGTCTGGCTGGAAGGATCCCCCAAATCATGGCCAGGTTGCCATGGCGCAAGGAAGCAAGGAACCCGGTTTCGAGGTGGACCAGGTTTTTTCTTACATTTTTTTTTTAAAGTGAGAAGCTCTGCTGGGACCTCGTCGATTCAATGTCAGGTGTCGAGGTCTATTCATTTGTGCTCAGTGGAGACCAGTTGGACCTTGCACATCCGACTTAGTTACATCTCCAGACTGGGCACCCAGAACGGGTTCGAGACTCCAGGTCACTGTTTTTTCCGGTCCCATCGAGGATGGAGATGCACCCGGCCAAAAAGCCTGCTTCTTCCGGTCCGGGCAAGAAGCAATTACAGTGGTTTCAGAGTAGATGGCACTGGCACCCCTACATGTCCTTTTCTACTCTGAACCCACTGTACTTAGAACTGGTTCATTTTCTGGTCCTTCCACATCAAACAGCGCCGGTCAAGTCGGAACCAGTACCGGACCACTCGGACCACCGGACCACTCCAACAACCCGGTGGGAGCGCCACGGGACCTGCCACGCGAAGCAATGAGGACGACTGGACCCTACGGGGACCCCTGAGGACGCCACCCTTGATGACATCTTATGACCAAGCTGTGCAACTTGAGTATGATTTGCTCTCCCTTGTCATCAGTGAATGGAGCATTAGACTCCGGCACTGTATACACTGTATAGGGTGCTTGGCGTGAACCCTGCGAACAACAGCGCATCTAAGGGGGTTAACTACTTGGGGCTTCAGGTGCATCTCTCTGTATGGCTTCAGGTGCTTTTTGGATGTCTTTGGGTGTTTCCGAATCTGCTTTCCATCCATATAGTGAGGTTCATGAATGTCATACCCAAACACTCCATGGGACTGCCATATATGCCTACAAATGACCCCCCAAACATGTAGGCATATCATCCATACATGGAGAACTCATGGAGTGTTTGGGACATCTACGTCATACGTCACGTCTTCACGTCCACCGGAAACACGTCGGCCATCCGGCCATCCTCAGGGACTTCGAAGACACCAGGGATCGATGTGGCACGGCCGCGGACAAGCGATCGAAACGGAACTGGTCGAGACGTCGGTGTTGTAGTAGGAGTAGTAGATAGTAGTAGTAGTAGTTGTTGTTGTTGTTGCTGTTGTTGTTCTGTTTTTTTAAAGTAGGGTTTAGTATAAGTATATAAATATATATTTATGTTTATTTTTTTGAAATAATTGTTGGATCTCCCAAATTGACATATAGACCCTCAAATAGATAGCCAAATAGATAGAAAAGTAGATCCCCACTTATAAAAATGTATTGGACACCGCGCCACCATTTATTTTGGGGGTCACGGTAGAAAAGTCGATCCGCACGAAAGATCTATTGGAACCCGTGCCACTCTCCATTTGGGGAGCAATATCATGAAGATGGCCTGCTATGTGGACAATTGTGGACGTAGAATATGCCTTAGGGCTCCAACCACCTCCTGAGAAGGTGGTTGGGGTGGGTTTGGGGGGTCTAACCACCTTCTGAGGATATGGTTGGAGCCCTAGGGATGATAGAATGAATGAAACATAGACTTTTTCAATGCGTTGAAGTTTCAGGTTTTTTTAGCCCGCGCCTCCAGACGTCCAGAGTGAGTTCGTGTCGCTAAATGGTTGGTCTCGTTCCAGCACCCATATAGCGGCAGATTTTTGTTTTGTTCTAAGATGATTTGGAAGAGTTTTATCATAGAGTACTAAGATATTATATCTGGGGGTGGCATTTGGCTCCCTATGATTTTGGCACTTGGGCACTTGTGCCCAGGCAACCCCCTGCCTTGACGTGACACTCACATGTTCGAGCCTTTGGATCAGCTACACACTGATCCTCCGGCATCTTGAAGTAGATTGTCGGACTTCTCTGGGTATCCAGGTCGGGATTTGTCCCAGATCCACTCAGAAGCTGCCCCATCTGATCATCTCGTTAAAGTTCCCAATCCTTGGATGTACGTTTTGGGGACGGCTTGGGTCGTGACCCGCCTGGAGCCCAATGGTCGTCCACCATGGCCGGCTTCACGACCGACACCAGGTAGGTCAACGAAGTATACCGACACCAGGTAGGTCAACCGACACCAGGTAGGTCAACAGCAAAGCAAGGTGAAGGGCTTTGGGTTTCGCGCCTCGCACCTATCGTCCGCCAATCTCGTCGGTAGGTTAGTGAAGGTGTTTGACCTTATGAAGACTGGAGCCCCTGCCCAAGGTGTCCATACCGGTAGCTCCAAGATTCAGGCAGAGGTATGCCGGTGTTTGACCTTTTGCAATTTTCCTCTCCCGAGGTGAGGGGCTCTTCAAGGTGCACGGCGACTTCACCGCAGAGTGCGACAACTTCCAGGAGCCGGGTTGACCCACGCCGCTCGGAGGAGTCTTCGGTGGAAGAGTACGACCTGAAGAAGGGTTTGGTGAACCCAAGAAATCCCAAGATCTTAGATAGAACGGTCAAACAGTCAAGACCTGCCACAGAAGGAGACAACGGCCGCCCGACAGGAGGGACACAACTGGGGCCTGAACCCGAAGAGTTGTGGTTGACAGGTGGCACAGGTGGCAAGTTCGGTCAAGTGAGTCATGTGAAAGCATGGAAAAGAGGTTCCTACCAGCACCCTCAAAGGGGTCACCAATGGAAGCCCCCAGACTAAGGGACCTCCAGCCAGGACACCCCTTGAAGGTCCAGGTATATCATTTGTTCAGAGTGATCGAGGCTGATGGGTTGAGGAACACCAATCCTGCCTCAATATGTGTAGACAGGGATATCCAGGCATCTATACTCCAAGTGTAGATTTGCAGAACCCCCACAGAATCATAAGAATTCTTCTCAGTGCCCCGCCATCGGAATCGCCAGTCAGTTCCGCCTCAAATAGGACACCCTCGACGCGGAAGCCTGCACGCAACAGGGCCGCAAGCTCCTTGGGTTGGCTCCGGCCCCGTTTTTTGCGAGGGCTGTGAATCTGGCAGCCACGCCAGCCACATTTGGCTTGTCGGTTCTTGCTTGCAGAAGCCCACATGTCACATGATCATATAATATATACTGTACATGTCCGAGTCCCCAGATCCCTGATTTCCATTTGCTACATGCCTACATCACCCCACCAAACTTGTGGCTGCCCACCTTTGCAACCGTGAATCACTGATGCAGCGGTTCTTGCAGCAACACAAGTTCGACCTCAACATATTTATACCAGACAACAGCCTTAAGCTGGCTGAGCCCATCTAAAAGTGACACATCTAAAGCAGCAAAATTGGACCTTCCCCCAAAGAGCGCAACAGACATGACAAAAGAGAGTACACAGATAACCACAAGACACATTCTGAGACGTTTTAACGTTTACGAGAATCAATAAAGGAATGATAGCAATAAACATCACACAAAAATAAACAGATGAAAGAGAGGACAAAACGGCTGATGTTAAGGACAAACAAGCAGGACATCATTCAATTTTCTTATTCAGTTCTATGTGGTGTTCTCTGGAATCAAAAGACACAATAATACAAAATGACGACAAGAAATACACATAATACGATGATCACGAAGTTGCTATATATTATATATACCCTACACTTCAACGGCCTCAATATTTGTGGCTGTTACAACGGCCGCAAAACCTTACATGAGTCCCCTTTGGACGGCTGGCTGTCCAAGCTCAAGTCCCCTTTCGCCGCGCCGCTCACAGATCAAGACATAATGCGCAGGTGACGGTGACATATGTCAAAATGATAGATCCCTATTTTCAAAGGATGGTTCAGCTTCAGCCCTGAGCCATGTCTCGATCTTTGAAAGCGCAGCTTTTCAAGAGCCAGGGACTTAATGACTGACGCAAAATAGACCAGAATCTTTGAGGGCCCACTCATACCTATTCCATGCCTGGCCTAGGGAAAAAAAGAACTGAAGCACTCGGAGGTGCGCCACTCTTTGCCCAGCACTGCAGTGGCTACTAGACTCACAGTTGTTTTCACATGCATCCTAAATTTGATTCAGTGGCCCTGACATTTGGCTTTGAGAAACAGCTGGCCGCTTCGATCTGTTTTCTGCGCTGCGAAATGCAGCCCGGTTCCAGTGAGAATCGCTCGACGCTCCTGAAGGCAGGCGCATTTGGAGAAATACTTTGTGGGGTGGGGTGGGGGTGCCCGGGAGCCCGCCCATGTCGCAAGGCCTTCTATGAGGATTGGTTGAGCAATGAGGACTACATCACAGAGCGTTTCTACAAGCTCGCTGTGAAGTCTTCGATTCCCAAAGTCAAAGTTGAGAAGCGGATTGCGTGTGGTAAGGTGGGACCACAAAGAATCACAAGTAAAAGTCCTAGAATCCGTGCATAGAGTCGGCGTAGAAACCCACTTGTGCAGGCACCTTGTACTTTCAGCTTCGTGGATGTTGACAGTAAGGGGAAAGTCAGCCCCGAAACGGCCCAAACCTAAATGTCAAATTGCCATTGGTTCTAAAGACGTATAGCCCATGCAGCAACAGCCCAGGTCCAGGATGATGTCAACCACGCTTTCTTGTTAGATTTCTTGGCAACCTTCGCGGCAGACCTTCCGAGAGTTTCAGAGATGAAGGCAAGCCAAGCTGGTCACCAAAACATATGATTCCTTTATAATTTATGATGGCAGGCAGTGCTGAGCTCTGTCGCCAAATCCTGGGGATACAGGATTGTGTCCAAATCTGATGAGCGCGACGAATTGCAGGACAGGCTTGTTATAAGAGCCATGCCATGCATGTCATGTCGACCGATTTCCAACATTGGGCTAAATCATTGACCTTCAAAGGACTGGGCTGAAGAGGAAGCTAAGCTACAACTTGGATTGGCCCGGTATGTGATTCGAAGAGCTTTCAAAAATCGTGGAGTGAGGTGGGGGTCCTTCCGATACATAAACCCGTCGTCCTGCTCCATTGGCCAGGCATGGACACACCAGGATGGAGGAGTTGAAGAGCCTGGTCAAATCGATCCGTCCAGGCTTGGGCAATCTTTCGGCCGGTTCTAGGGGTACTTTAAAATCTTAACTTCCCACGTCCCACGTTGTTGTTAATGTCACGCACGACCATGCGCAGAACCGAATGTGAAGATGATCCGGAAGCCAAAGAGCAAGGATGGTGAAGGTGTGAGTTCTGAGGTGGATGAAAGCGGGAAGGAACCACCAGAAGAGACAACAATAGCTGACACGTTCAAGTCAGCCCCCTCAGCTGATTTAGAATCTGATACCGAGTTCATCACCACTCCAACGCCAGAAGCCGTGGCTGAGGCCATTCCTGAGGTACCTCATCAGGTACCTAACCCGGAGCCTGAAGCCATCCCGCCCGCCGTTCCTCATGAGGTACCTAACCTGCAGCCTGAAGTCACCAAGGCCGTTCCTGAGGCACCTAATGAGCCTGAAATTTCTTCAGGCTTGACGGCTGAGATGGGAGACTTGAGCTTGGAGAGCCAGCCGTCCAAAGAGAACCTTGTAGCTGCTCAGGAGGCTCAGCAGTCCAAAGTCGCTGGGTCCCAATTGATCGAGCCTGTGGTTGAGAACGTGATTGAGCTTGAGGATTCCCAACCAGTTGCTCCTGAAGTTTCCCCTGCCCCCGAGCTGGCTCAGGAACCGATCGAGCCTGTGGTCAAGGTTGAGGAGGTGATTGATGATTCCCAATCAGTTGATCCTTCTGAAGTTTCTCCTGCCCCCAAGATGGCTGAGACACCGATCGAGCCTGTGGTCAAGGTTGAGGAGGTGAGTCATCATGATTCCCACCCAGTTGATCCTTCTGAAGTTTCTCCTGCCCCCAAGAAGGCTGAGACACCGATCGAGCCTGCAGTCCCACCTCCCATTAAGCCCAGCGCTGCAGCTTCTGAGAGCAGCGAGCCCACTCCTCCACAGGGTGAGACAAAAGCCAAGAGTGAGAGACCCCTGACCCCAAACAAAGCTTTGCTCAATACTGAGGAAGAGGAAGAGCAGGAAGGCCTGGGCTCAGGAGACGAAGGAAGAAGCAGACACAGTTTTCAGGACAGTAGTATTGTAGCATACATTCCTGTCAAACAATAAGTTTGGCCTGCTAGCTAGCGCCCTTGCAGGACAGGCGTCCACTCTTGCAGACTGTCCCGGGCTTGCCAAACATGGAAAAGCTTTGGCAGGATTACCTCAAAGAATACGGCCCGATTGACAAAACCAACGAAGCCATTATGTCAAAGTTTGTTTTGCAGGCCATGATTTTACGATATGTTGATCGATGAATGATGACTCAAGTAAATTTGTCAACTTTCATGTGTACGATATCGTAGAGCTGTGTTTGATTGATCCTGCGCTTCGCAGATGCAAGATGAGACGCGGAAGGGCATCAACCAACATCTTAGGGAAGCGCAGAAAGACCTGGACGCTGCAAACCAAAAAAAGCAGAAAACCCAGAACCAGAACCGGGGAAGGGGCGGGAAAGGACGAGGAAGGGGCAGAGGTAGGAAGGCTAAACAAACAGAGGACGAGGGTGAGGAAGCCAAAGATGATGATGCAGAGGCACATAGCAAACCTCCACGCACACAGATTTTACTATCAAAAATGCCCAGGAAGCCGACGAAGCCGAGGACGCTAACGTCGAGGTCGACCAGGAGGCATCTATACTGCAAATAATATATCGCTCTCGTGATACCCGGCCAGGATGGTGCCGCAAAAGCTGCAAAGGCCACTTCTTCTGCCGGCTCTTTGGAATCAAAGGCCGACACTGCCAAGGCCAGTGCAGTTGTTTTCAAACCATGCCATGATGTGGAACAGTCAAGTGTTGTTGATCTGGCCAGAAACAAGAGCGTAAGCGTTTGAAGGACTGAACACATTATTTGATTTATATAATCGAATCGACTGATCTGTTCGAAGGACACGGACATCAAGGACAACTCCAAGAAGCCAAAGATCGATGTGCCCAACACAGAGGCAATCCGACATCAATTTTGGGCCCTCTTGTGTTCCCTAAATTAACGTTCTCTCTTGCTAGTTCTGTCCGATCCAGGCAAAGGGAGGGAAGAAAAAGAAGCTGGATCAGGAGCCTGTGTAAGAGTTCTTTGTCAACTATGTACCCCTCGTACCATTCAGTGTTGCAGGAGAAACCAAATGAAGCAAATGACGGTGATGATGAACCCAAACGGAAGGCAACTATATAATATAATATTTATCGCCAAAACAAGCATGTCATGTTCCTTTTGGATTTCTGGATCGTTCAGGCCAGCCGATTGTCAGAGGCCTGGCCCATTTGGGTTGGGGTTACGCACCGTTGCCATTTCTCAAAATATGCACTAGTGCCACTTCTCAAAATCAACCGCAGGATCTGCGCGCAGAGCGACTCCTACTTGTTCAGGCAGTTTCCAACAAGGACCCTCATTTGGTGGTTCCAAAAGA